CAGTTTTCCCTCATTCATTTCCATATTGTTTTGGTTCTCACTAGCATAAAAATAATAAAAATATTGTTTTTCCATCAATATTTTTTTAGTTTGATTTGATACACATATAATTTAATGGGGTAGCATTTTTGAAGTTATACTTCTTATGCGACTTCCAACAAGGTTGCGTTAAACGTTTAAAGCTACATTTTTATTGGCCGGGAAATCACGTGGTAGGATTCAGTTTTCCCTCATTCATTCCCATATTGTTTTGGTTCTCACAAGCATAAAAATAATAAAAGTCATAAAAGTATTGTTAGGGTAGTATTTTTTATTTTCAAACTTAGTGGATAACAATTAAAAAATGAGTGAAAACAATCCCACGGACAATGCGATGGATTTAAGGTTATGTCAAGGTACGCCTCTTGTGAATATCAATTGATTGTCAGGTTTTCTCTTTTCTAATTTCCATTTATATTTCATCAAATGCAGCCACGAGGGATTTTAAATTATTTATTTCAAAATCTTTATTGCCACTATCCACTACAGGTTCACAAGCTCTGGCAGACGCTACTGGTGAAGAAATTGATTATTGTGAGCGGCCTCTGATCCTTGCAGGAGACTTTTAATATGAATTTCTCGTTACCTGAAGCTGAAACATTACCTTCCTTAAAGACTAATTTGGATTGGAAATGATAAATGGTAGGAATGATCCAACAACCAAAGGGGTAACTACCACTGATGCAGTTTTTGTAAGAAATATTGAAAAAATAGAACTCAAACATTTCGTATCTTACTTTAGTTATCATAATCCCATTGTAAATGTTATAGATTTGGATATTTCTCCACTCGAAAATGTTAATTAAAAGATGCGATCAATTGTGAATTGTAAGCATTGTTAATAAAGTTTGTCTTAAAGAAACAATATGATTTCACTAAAAATCAATTTCTACGCCTTCCTATTTTCATTTCCACATTACGAAGTTTCACTTCTTCCACGCGGAGGGATTCCACGCACTATTTTTTTTTTCGCGTGTTGTATGAAGAAACGATCTGATACTTACGCATGTAGGCCCGGAATATTTCCCCAAAAGAATCTCGGACGAGATTGAGGTGAGCAATACTTGGCATCAATTAAAGCTGGGGAACACTGTAAAAAAACAAAACTATAATAAGAATGAATTTAAAAAGAGAAATATAAAAATAGGAATTAATACTGACCGATAAGAATTGTGATATGATTTGCCTATTAGCTTTAGTCATGGCAGCTACATTTTCAAAAAGATAAAACAAGTGTCGATCCTTATTAAATCTTTTCACAGTTTTCAGTATATGATAGTAATCAAAGAAAAGGCAGCCCGTTCCGGTAACATCTACAATGGAAGAAATACATTTAGTATTCCCTATTACTTATCTTGCTCTAGTGTAATTACTACCTAGTACAATTTTGTTTGAGTTATTTGTGACGATTCATTAATAAGTTTAATTTACAAGTAATTAGCAAGTCTGTGTGAATATTAGTAATGTGAGTATTGAGTGGTACTTTCAGTTAACTGTATTCTCTAAACAAACGGGGAAATGAATTACTTTTACTGCCAGTTTAGCGTGAGTATGTATAGATGTTTAGATAACTGTGTTCACATTTAACCATTAGATAAAAGTTTTCACATTTAATCCTTTGCACTCAAGCTTAAATTATTCTGAATGCTGAAATTGTTGCACTATGAGGTTTAGTACCCACTTTATTTAATTTTTCCTATGTATTACATCAGGGGTGTCAAACTCAAAAGCTAACTTGGGCCAACTAAACATTGCTTTACTTTAGGTGGGCCGCAAAAAAAATCAATGTTCATTGAAAGAGATATTTTTATTCTGAATAGTACATTGTAATAAACATATATAAAGTTAAATTATTCTTTGATAGTTGACATCTCTTCTCTATTACTATCTTTCCTATTTCGGGAGAAATTTTATTGGCCGAGACTACTTTCAAAATGTCACCCAACGTGTGCGTTATTAATACGGTTTCGGACAGGAGATTTATTTCCATTCATAACAGAAAATAATTGCTCTCACTGATAAGTACTTCCAAACAAAGAAATAATTTCATGTGCGAATTTTCGAGTATTTTCAAACCTTGCCGGTAAATATTTGTAAAATTCAGTCACACTCGCTTCTTTTGCCTTTAAAATTGAGTACTGAATCTCAATCATTTCCATTTGCATATTACTGGGTACTGAATCTATATTTATTGAGAAAATCGAAGAAAACAAACAAAATTTGTCTTCCAAGGAATTAAAATCTTTAAACCTTGTTTCAAATTCTGTTCTAAGATTTGAAATTTTTTCTGCGTATTTTTGATACGATGCAGTATCCCTGGAATGGCAGGTGCCGCAAGCCAATTAGAATTTTACATTTTCGCGCGTACAATTTAAAATGATCCGTATAGTTTATAAATAAAGTATATTATAATTTTATATGCTAGTTTCCTTTCTAATTCACATTTCTATTTTATTTTTACTTTGCGTCGGATATATTGACTGGGCCGCAAAAATGTTCATCTCGGGCCGCATGCGGCCCGCTAGTTTGACACCCCTGTATTACATGGTAATTGTGCAAACTGAGGGTTTTGCCTTTTAAAATCTCAGTAGTTTTTTTTTTATTCTTTCTATCCAATTGTAGGAAGAACCTCGAGTGCAAAGGATTAAATGAAGAAAAAAAAACAAGGAACTAATGAATTGCTATTAAGAAAGGGGAGATTGAAAGCAATATATAAAACCTATTTGATTGATGGAGGAAACAAAAACGAGTTGAAAGACAATAATTGGAAATTAAGTAAGATCATAAAAAAGGTCATATTAATGACTAGTTAACCAGAAAAACAATCTCAGATAATTAGAACATTTTTTTAAAACACAATACTAATAAGAAAAACGATATTAGAAGGAGAAAGACAACTTTTTGAAACACGATAAGCAGAAAGACCATGTAAGAAACTAAGTATTCAAAAAAACTTGTTTCTAAACCACGATAATGAAAAATTATTTTTAGACGATTAGTTTCCCCTAACAACAATGTTCAGATGACTAGTTTTGATAGGTTTTAATGCTCTTCATCCCTAATTTCTCAGCTTTACTTTTTTGATGTTTTATAGCAAATGGGGACAATTGAAATATCGCTTTAAGTGATATTTTAGTTGACAAGGGTAAATGAGCAAAGATTACGTAAAAACATCTCCTTATTTTCAAAATTGTCTTAAAAAGCGAAATAAAAAATATAACAAACAAATTACACGTAGAAAAATGTCAAATTTGGAATTAAAAGTGAAATTTAGAGAAAATAATAAAACAAAATGGTTTCCTTCAGAGGCACAGTTATGAACTCAAAATATTCCGAAAGAATTAAAAATTTTCTTTAATGTATTTAAACGTAAATTTTGTTTCAAGCAAAGTTATATACTCTATTTGAATTTTATTCTAAATTTAAACAGAAAAAAAAGCAAAAATGAGAAGGATAGGTTTTGCTGATGAGTCAATATTTAAATCTTGAATTTATATTTTATTTTATTACCAAATAATCCTTTTCTGAGAGGGTTGACAAGGGATAAATCATTGCAGGGAGATCCACCAATTAACAAATCAATCGGGCACATGGATGAGATCTAAAAAGAAATGGAAACATACTAAAAAGAAATATGATAACAAACAATACGTTTGTTTTTTTATAAATTTATTACTCACTACCAGCAAAATTTATCGCCAAATTAAATTTATCATCAAACTAAATTTTAACTACTCTCTTCGATTTAAACTGGGAGGAATAACATTAAAATTTTTTAATCAGTTCTTGGATTCTTAAAGCAAAATTATCGCCATAGTGTCAAGAATTTGTTGTCCGTAAAACTTTTCGGTCCGTAAAACTTCTCGGAAATTAAGAATAATAAAAACCTTCTTTCGAAAATTTAAATGGTTGATTCAAAGTTGGAATTGGAGCTCTGTGATGGACGATATTAAAATTTACAATCGTTTAAAAATTTCATAATTATCTTTTGTATCGCAAAGGAAATTTTGTTGGACAAAAACAAACTGATAGATACACAACGGAAGGAGATAAAATAGCAAAATAGAATAATAGTTTTAAAAACTACGTTTTTGAAGTGAGCTTAAAGGTATTTTAATTTTTGTCTAACCTAAAACGAAAAACTGCATCATTTCCGTGATAAAGTTTTATCACCACCGAAACTTCCCCAGACGACATTTTAAAGTGGTGCGTACTACGCTTATAGGCGTGTCAGGAATAATTTTTATAATTATTCATCTGTAAAACTTTTAGTTTATAATTTATAATAAAGCCTTGCATATTTTTCTATAAATTCATTAATTTTTAAATTTTTTTCCCATCTAATGCCAAATGACTATCTAATACCAACTAATGATTTTTTCCTATCTAATGACAATATTGCTTAGACATTTAACGTGATTATTTATATATTGTGGTGGTTTTTAAGTCAAAGGTTAAAACAGCTTTAAATAGAAGGCTAAAAAACATTAAATGAATTGCAATAAATTCTTTTAACCTAAAATAATTACCTTTTTGGATAAAAGCTTAGTGACGTCTCCTATGTATTCAATAGCATCCGGGTGCTGTAGTTTGGATACACAAAGTGCAGCCTCATCTATTTCACTTGCATAATATACTTCAACATCTATTCCAAGATTATCCAAAACTAATTTACCTGCCAAGAAACAAAATTCTCACTCATTATATTTGGGTATACATTTCCCTATCATTCAAAAAAAGTATATCTGCAGATTCACGCCGTTTAAAGATAAGTAACTCAGATAATTTGCAACAGTGTTTTACCGTTTCTCTCTTTCCATTTGTTCACTCATTTGACTTCCTTCGTTATCCGTAATTATAATAATGTTTGACTCATCAACTAATGATTGTAGTGACTTGATATTTTGCAGAGCGGAAAATAAATAACATTTATATAAACGCACAGCGCGCAAATTAACCCAGAATGATTTTTTATCTAATGAGTGGAACTGCACGTTCTAAGACTCAATCTTAATGGTTGACCTACAATACACTAAATGATTAGTGCAGATGATATTTAGTTACGAAATCGCAGATTCAAAAACGCACTTTCTCTGAGTAGACTTTGACGGATTTCTGTTCCTAAAATATAGTCGCAATCTGGGAAAGATAGTCGGTTAGGAGAGCGGTCCAAAATCCCTTAATTTTAATTTTACTTTTTGCATATTTAACCATATATTGCACCAAATTATAAAACGTGTTTATCCAAAGATAATTTCGCGCAAAAGGACGCTTTTGCTCTGTGATAGGTATGTAGTACATTTTTTTATTTCCTTTTTAATCAAAGTTCTAAAAATATACATTAATGGCGGCAGCCAGTACGGAACACCTTGTATATATAAAAAAATGTTCTTTACCTGTTCCTATTCCATCAAAGAGGGAGAGAACTCTTATTGGTCTTATTGGCGTATTTTTAAGAGGGTAACAAGTTTTGCTTGAAGCACTCGATTCGAACATAAAATGTAATTCTTCTTCCCAATTTTCTCTTTTCTCGAACGTTCCTGGAATTTTAGAACAAAAGAAGCACAGCCAAGGAGATGTTTCCAATATCTAAAAGAGGAACAAAAGCAATTTAATTTAAAAAGCGAAATTACAGACCTTTAACAGTTAAAGAGAATTTCAGGTTTATTATATCATATACATATAGAGAAAAGAAAAAAATAAACGCATGCCCAAAAAAAAAAGACAAAACTTGTGTTTTTATCTTGGAAACGCTAATGAAATAATGGCATTAAAAATAAAAATTAATTTACCTTATAAAACGGAAGTGTTATAGAAACAAAAAATCGTAGATTATGTCAAGAAATGGCTGTAAAATCCAGACTTGGTTATTATTTTGTTACCAACATTGGCAATTAAATATATTTCATTAATAAATGCGTGCATTACTTTAATCCGGGTACTTCAATATTCGGAATAAATTTATGCATAGATTGGATGTAATTTTCATACATTGTTCTAGAACGTTTCTTTAAAAAAAATTCTAAATTCTAAGTTAGGTACTTACTTTTTTTCTTCTTTTATCCCCCAAAAAAACATCGATACAGGATAGACAATAAGAACTGAAATAAGAAGAAAAAAGAATTGAATTGTATAAAATACGATTATTTGTATAAAAAGAACTATTTCTTAATCTAATAAACTGGATGGTTTCTAAAGTGACACTTTCTAATCGAGCTGACATATGGTACTTTATTTACATCGCATCGCATTGGAGCAACACCTCCTAGAAGAGCCGCCACACGCATCAATGTATTAGTCCGACGTAATGAGCAAAAACTTCGCAGTGGGGGTCACTCTTCTTGTTTATGACAAACCGTTGAAGATTCTTTTAGGAGGTGATGATTGTCTGGAGGATAATCTGAAAACAAGCCATCACAATTTTGTTCCTCTGCAGATGGAATGGCTCCCCGCTTTGTTAGCCTGACGATCTGCGTGGGAAGTCGAGCACTTTATGGTAGAAAAGTTTAACAACAACCAATACTAGCCACCCTTGGTCAATTCACAGGCAACAAATCAAAGAAGTTATCCAATCTCTCACAAACTGCAAATAGACATGCTTGAGTTAGATGATCAACTGGAAAACGTATTAAGACACGTTTCCGTAGATCAATTCACTGAGAGACTCTAAAGGCCTGGTTTCTTAGGACAGGACGCCGTCAGCTGGAAATCAGCGCTAACCTCTGATTGGTCCATTTGTGAGTTTGATAGCATACCTCATCGAACGCTCATCTTGAACTACAATTGCCGTCCAACTCAACTGCAGTTGGATTACAACGTGACGTTAACCACAGAAGCAATGGCGGACAACATCCAACAGCACATTGAAATCAGCCAAGATTTTGATTTTGACATTA